TGGCTCTTTTCAGGCTTTTTCCCTCCTTGTGAAGTTTTCCGGGGCATTCATGTTTTTTCAGAACGCATAGTTACACAACATGCGTCTGTGCATGGCACACATAATTACGCAATGCGTAATTACGCACATGGGGAGCTGAGTGACAAGACGTTTTTTGGGCAAGCTTCTGCTTCATACAGTGTTCGTATGGACCCAGTGATGCGAGGACAACATCCGCTTCGCCCTTAACCCACTAAGCGACAGCCTTAAAGGGCAAAACCTATACAAAATAGAACGTTGGTTACGTACTGTATCCCCAGATTCTATGAGTATAGGCGTAGCCCTTTAAAAATAATAATAATAATAATACATTATTCATAAAGCCCTTTAAAACAACCACAGCTGCCACAAAGTGCTATACATATAAAATAAAGAACATTTAAACACATAAAAACAGTTGTTAAAACATTAAGATCAATAAAAGTAATAAAAACAGTGCAGAATAAATTCAGTGTGTGCTAAAAGCCAGGGAGTAAAAATGTGTTTTTAAAAGAGTTTTAAAACTGGACAGTGAAGGGGCTCGTCTGTTTGGAAGAGGGAGATCGTTCCACAGTCTTGGAGCAGCAACAGAAAAAGCTCTGTTCCCTCTGAGCCTCCGCTTAGACCTCGGCACCTCCAGGAGCAGCTGATCAGCTGATCTGAGGCACCGAGCAGGAGAGTATGGGTGAAGCAGCTCAGAGAGGTAGGATGGAGCAAGACCATTTAAACTTTTAAAAATAAATAAAAGAATCTTAAAATGAACTCTAAAATGAACAGGCAGCCAGTGGAGTGAATCCAGAGTGGGGGTGATGTGCTCCCTCTCATGAACTCCAGTTAGAAGCCGAGCAGCAGCGTTCTGGACCAACTGGAGGCGTCTGAGGGAGGACTGACTGACTCCAAGGTAAAGAGCGTTACAGTAATCCAGCCGAGAGGTGACGAAGGCATGGATTACTGTTTCCAGCTGCTGTTTTGTAAGGATGGTCTTTACCTTAGCCAGCTGTCAGAGGTGATAAAAACTGGTCTTGACCACCGCTCCAATCTGGGACTCTAATTTAAAATCACTGTCCATTTTAAAACCCAAGTTAGAAATAGTTTTCTTTACATGTGGTGCCAGAGGGAACAGGCCTTTAAGCGTCGGGCCTCACTGGCTCCTAAATGGCTGAAGAAAAAGCTATTTTTGGGAGCCGATTTCCTGCTCTTAACGTAATTTATACGGACCGGGTGGGGCCCACACAGCAGGTGGGCGTGGACTAAATTTTTCAGTGCGATGCTTTGCATATCGGGATAAACCCACTAAGCGACAGCCTTAAAGGGCTACGCCTACACTCATAGAATCTGGGGTTGCAGTACGTAACCAACGTTTTCTCCACAGGGTGTCTGGGCTCTCCCTTAGAGACAGGGTGAGAAGCTCGATCATCCGGGAGAGACTCAGAGTAAAGCCGCTGCTTCTCCACGTCGAGAGGAGCCAGTTGAGGTGGCTTGGGCATCTGTTTAGGATGCCTTCTGGACGCCTCCCTGGTGAGGTGTTCTGGACACGTCCCATCGGGAGGAGACCCAGAGGAAGACCCAGGACACGCTGGAGGGACTATGTCTCTCGGCTGGCGTGGGAACGCCTCGGGATTCCCCCAGAGGAGCTGGACCAAGTGGCTGGAGAGAGGGAAGTCTGGGCCTCCCTACTTGGGCTGTTACCCACGCGACCCGACCCCGGATAATCTGAAGAAAACGGATGGATGGATGGATGGATGGATGGATGGAATTGAATTACTTCCTCAGGCGGCTGAGACGAGCTGGTCTGGAAGTTCAGTCCTCACCTCCTTCTACAGGTGTACAGTGGAGAGCATCCTGTGTTCCAGCATCAACGTGTGGCATGGAGGCTGCACAGCTGCAGAAAGAAAAGCTTTGCAGAGAGTGGTGAAGGCTGCACTGAAAATGTTGGAGTCAGTCTCCCCACCATCACATACATCTAAACCTCCAGATGCAGGAAGAGGACCACCTGCATCATGAAGGACCCCACTCACCCAGCACACACACTTTTTGCCCCGCTCCCCTCAGGAAGGAGGTTGAGGAGCATTAAGTGTAGAACCACTAGACTGAGGAACAGCTTCTACCCTGAGGCTGTTAGACTCATGAATCTCTAACCAGAATAATCACTGTGAAAAATAATCACTATAATGCCACTTGATTGCTGCTTATCCATGCTGCTGATGTCACGCTGCTGATATGTTTCATGTTGCTGTGTTCATTCGTCCTCATCTGCTCACACATTGTACCTGTTTACCCCGTGTAAACAACTTTGTTCCACCTCATGCACCACATGTGATGTGAATAACAAACCTTGAAGTTGAAGTCCAGACTGGGCCAGAATGCAGTAGATCAGGAGAGTATCTTTCAACTGCCAGTAAACTGGTTGACAAACACTGTAAAGCATTTTGTGGAGACCTGGAAAGATACAAAACATAATTACTCTTGAACAAATTAGGAGGCCTGTCAGTTTTTCAAACCAGCGTCTCTACATGTATGACAGCCATTATATGCAAGGTCTGTGAAGTTCCAACACAAGCTGACCTCATCCTGTGATCACCTGATCATGTTCTGATCAGGTGATCACCTGAACCAAATTTTATTTAACAAGGAAAAGTGTAAAAACCACTGCTGTGGTCATCATCAACCTCTTGCTATAGGAGCAGCTGGATGGCAAAACCAGCACTGCAAGTAACTCATAATTAATTATGAAAACAGAAGGTACTGCCCGTGTTTGAAAAGGTTTGGAATGAGGAAAATAGAGTTCAGCTTTAGCTTTACTGAGTGAGGGACACAGACGCCGACTGTATCTGATACTGAGGTGTTCAGCAGCAGGTTTTCAGTGGGTTCAGGTGTGGATTGAGGTCCATCAGACCCTGTCATCTCCAGACCTGAAGCCCTCTGAGAACCTCTGGACTGTGATAAAGAGGAATGATGGCCACAGATCATCAAAGAGCTGAGCTGACAGAGCTGTTGCAACAGTGACAACAGTGTCAAAGACTGGTGGAGAGCATGTCAAGATGCATGAACGCTGGCAATAACAAGCACAGCTGTTTCACTAAATCACTGCCTAAGTTAAAACATTAGTAGTGAATGTCTAAAAATGAGTAAAGTCTTGCTTTTTGTATATTATCTGATCCGTCTGTAAACACGGCAATGTTTCTTTGATTCTGACCTTTGGTCATGTTCTGCTAACAAATGCTCTAAAAGCTCAAAATTTGCATTTGAAAGCAATAAGAAATGTTGTCAGTAGGTTGTAAAATAAAAACAAAATGTTCATCCTTCTCAAGAATGTACTCATAAATAATAAAACCAAAAAATTCAGATGAAACAATAATTTTGCTGTGGTCTTTATCTGTTCCAGTGCTGTGAATGAGAAGTGAGGTTCGGGGTAATTATTGATAAAGTTTAGGTTGATGGTCAATACAAGTCCGATAAGGACAGAAATAAAAAGCCCCGTGTTAAAAATGTTCATTTTTCAAAGCCTAGTTGTACAAACTGCAAACGATGGGATGATTTTCCAGACCTGAAGGTAAATAATCTTCTGTCCTCATGATGGCAGTAGCGCAAAAGTTAAAAGAGCCCAAAGATCTGCACAGAAGAACCTTCCATCACCAGCATCAGCATCACGTCTGAATCAGGACTGAATCAGGTCAGCTATAGGAGTACAGTAATTAGACAATACCAAACTAATTTAACAGATGTTTCTTAAAATAGCAATAGCCCAGTTTTGCTACCTGCCTGCCAATCAAACTCTCTGGTGTCCATCTCGTACTTTTGGTCTTTTAGTTTTCTTTGATGAGGCTTTTGTTTGACAGCTCAGTCTAAAACTAAACAGTTAAAAGGTGTTAATTACCTGTCATATTAATCTAATCAGCTACCTTAGGATGCTCTTTAAAAAAGCTTGTTACTATTCATTGATGCTAAAAACAAAAAGGTTCATCTGAAATAACGGGCTTATTTTTTTAAGTAAGCCCATTTTACCTGAACATAAGCAGGTCCTCAGGTTGGGGTCATGACCTCAGTACAGGTTGTGAAACATCAAATTTGGGGGTTTGATGTGATTTCCAGTTATAAAACTCTATGAAAATGATAGTTAATACTCTTTTTACACAGTACAATTTAAGACAGTATCATACTTTTGTTATTTCATTGTATGCTTATTAAATGCTTTAATGTTAAATGGTTATTGTTGCACTGGGGTCTGAGAGTAATGTAATTTCAATCCCGTATGTCCTGTACATATTGCGGTTTTGGACAATAAAGTGACTTTGACTTTTTTCTGCCATAGATGTTATGAGAGATATAAACTAGTAAAAGCAGTTTAATGATTGTAAAGGTCTCGTGTAACTGACCTGTACGTTTGCACACGTCAGCTAAAGGTAGCCTGGTCACAGCTGTGATTCTGTAGGTCTGAAGATGGAACCATTGTTTAACATTTATACTTCTTTTTTTTAAAGTTGTATCAAAAGAAATCTGTGACAATTAGCAGAAGTACTAATTGCTAAAATAGTTTTTTAACCAACCAAAATGCGTGTCATTTTAGCTGATTTCCCGTTGTTCAGCTGATAAACGTGTGCAGTCGTGGTCAGTGCTGCTGTCTTGTAATCCTGAGGTTGCGAGTTCGAACCCAGGTGTTGTGAGGAACTTTTCATGCAGGGCCACTTGTAGCAGCCAAACAACAACTGCTTCAGCTGACAGGACCACAGGCCTGAACAACACAAAACACTTTAGACAAGACATGGTTGTTTCTCACATTAGGCTGATTTGTGTTCTGAATTAAAATAGTTGTGCACGACTAATGAACATATTATTAACCATGCTTTGGTGTAGCTCTGTCCCTGTTCACCCTGGGGGGGGGAGGGGGGGGCATCATGTTGTGAAGTTCAGGAGGGGTCGGACTAATCTCTGGCGGGTTACTGATTAACTCCTGGACGGTGTCAGCAGCTGTGCTCACAGCAGACTGTTCCAGAAGCTCCCCTGTCCCTCAGCATGCAGTGCGCGCGGGCCTGGGGGCCCCTGCGCCCCCTCCTGACCACCAGGAGCCTCCTCAGAGCCTGGAGCCGAGGCAGGCTGGACCTGAGCGGCATCTATCCTCCCATCGCCACTCCGTTCACCGCCGAGCAGGACGTGGACTACCAGCAGCTGGAGCAAAACCTGCTCAAACACGCCAAGATACCGTTTAAAGGTACTCCTGAACAACCCTGCCTCTCACAACCCAACTCTGAGTTTTACACGGAGCCGGCTCCCACATACTGCCATAATTCTTTATTTTAAAATAAATTAATTATTTCCTGGGTGTTTGACGGGATTTCAGACAGGCAGGCGTTTGGGCTCCTATCGTGGTTGAAGTATCCGTGAGCCTCGTGCAGCATTAACTCCTACAGCTGGTTTCCACGTGTAAAACAAAGTCTCTGGCTCTCTTCCCTGCTGTGAAAAGTAGCACACTGATCTGTGCACGGTTTGCCCAGACACCAGGGCTAAGAGCCATGCAGGAACAAAGTTCAACACAAGTCCAGAGTTGAGGGTATGGCGCCCCCTGCTGGTCATGCGCAGCTACAGCCCTGGTGCGGGGCCACGGGTCCGCGGCTGCGTGACAAACATCTCATGAACCACAGACCAACTTTTAATATACGAAGACTATAACCACTGCCAGTGCATCTACACCTGATTAACGCGTGGAGTCGATTCTGTTCTCGATGGCAGCTACATCCGGCGCACCTTGTGCAACACAAAATTACTGTAACTGTCATTTTCACAGATTTATTTTCTTTCGGCTGCTCCCTTCAGGGGTTGCCACAGTGAACTAACTCACTGACATGGCTTTTGTTTTTACACCTGATGTACACTATATTGCCAAAAGTATTCGCTCACCTGCCCTTGACTCCATGGGCGTCAGAAGCATCTGTAATGTGTGTGTGTGTGTGTGTGTGGGGGGGGGGGGGGGGGACTATAGTGTGTGTGACACACACCAGTGCACAAAAAAGCAACATTTCACCTAGATTTCCTTACTTTAATTCCTTTTAAAACATGTTTCTCACTAAGTTTGTGTAAACTGATCTGTGTGTTTTAAAGACATTTTAACTTTAACACACTTTCTAGATCTAGAATTGCGCCGCTCCAGGTGGCTGCATGTTGGAGCAGCTCTGTTACTTTCATTCTGAGATTTTGCTTTTCGAATCTTTAATTCATCTTTTTCTGGATGCAAATCACATTTTTTGGATGATTGTTTCCTCTGGTATCAGATGTTGTGCAGCTGGAAGGATTTTTACTGAAACTTTTTTAGTTTTGGACATTTGTTATGATGCGTAACCATGGCAACAAGACAGTTTTCTACAACCAACCAGCTGATTAACATCTCAAAAGCTCAAATAATATCTCAACTACAGCCCCATATCTCAAATGAGTTGAAAGGATGTTCTGAGGATGCATTCTCATCTACCTGCCGGCTGTGCTCGAGTGCCTGACCACTGAGATCCTGGAACTAGTAGGAAACACGGCTCATGACAGCGGAAGGACAGGATCGTCTTTTGGCACCTACAGTTGGTTGTCTGCAGCGACGAGGAGCTCGGCAGACTGCTGGGAGGAGTGGCCATCACTCTGGGAGGAGTTATGCCCAGCATTTGGGCGGTCCTACAGCCCGAGGGAACTGAGAGGCCATCCGAGTTTGGGTGGACAGATCGGAAGGCATCTGCAGCCAGTTTCTTAGGATCCACTGTGGGATGGACCTTTACAAGAGATCCTTCCTGTCTACAGCATCAGCATCTATAACATCTCTTAATGAAATGAGGATAACGAGTTACAACAACAAATAATTTCCCTCTGGGATTAATAAAGTATTTTTGAATTTAATTTAATTGAATTTAATACAGAGCCTCAGTTCGACACCTTTGTGTTTATAGAGAAATAAAACCATCACCACTGGACTTTTTTACTTGTGTTCAACACAACTCATCTAAATGATGTTTGTCATGAAGCTTGAGGACAATAAGGTGTGGGGGTTTAAAGACATTTCAACTTTAATGCACCTGAACACACAGAGACTCTTACACCTGCAGCGTCTCACAGCGTCACACTTACTGCTAAGCTAACATGCTACAGACGTACCTCCTCTCAAGCATCCTCCTAACATGAATATATGATTATGATCAATCCCCTCAGGTCAACAACTGCCCGCACTAAAGTTTGCTAAACTGGCGAGTGAGTAACACAGAGGTGTCTCCACCTCCTCCACCTGTGTGCATTTTCTGCCGAGGCAGGAGATGAAAGGAGACTGCTACTGGAAGCTGGAGAGTTGGAGGTAACCAGGAAAACCTGGAGTGGTTTTCAGTGGTTTGAGTATTCTCCTATTAATCAAGTGGAATGGATTTGTTCACGAAGAAAGAGAAACTGCGCCAACAGAACTAAGTTTTCACAGTAAAAGTGTGTGTGTGCGGGGGGGGGGGGGTGTCCAAATGAACGTTTTTTTTATGTGGGGGGGACACGTCCTCTTCACATATAATGGTTGCAACGCTTATGCTTGACTCACTTATGAGCTTAAGTGACATTCCATTCCTAATCCATAGGGTTCAATATGACGTTGGTCCACCCTTTGCAGCTAGAACATCTTCAACTCTTCTGGGAAGGCTGACCACAGGTTTAGGAATGTGTTTATGGGGATTTTTGACCATTCTTCCAGAAGCGCAGTTGTGAGGTCACATACTGATGTTAGATGAGAAGGCCTGGCTCCCAGTCTCTGCTCTAATTCATCCCAAATATGTTCTGTCGGGTTGAGGTCAGGACTCTGGGCAGGCCAGTGAAGTTCATCCACACCAGACTCTGCCATCCATGTCTTTATGGACCTTGCTCTGTGCACTGGTGCACAGTCATGTTGGAAGAGGAAGGGCCAGCTCCAAACTGTTCCCACAAAGTTGGGAACATGGAAATGTCTTGGTATGCTGAAGCAGTCAGTTCCTTTCACTGGAACGAAGGGGCCAAGCCCAGCTCCTGAAAAACAACCCCACACCATAATCCCCCCTCCACCAAACTTTACACTTGGCACAGTGCCATCAGACAAGTACCGTTCTCCTGGCAACCACCAAACCCAGACTGGTCCATCAGATTACCAGATGGAGAGGTGTGATTCATCACTCCAGAGAATGCTCCTCCACAGCTCTAGAGTCCAGTGGTGGCGTTCTTTACACCACTTCATCTGACGCTTTGCATTGCACTTGGTGCTGTATGGCTTGGATGCAGCTGCTCGACCATGGAAACCTATTCCATGAAGCTCTCTGAGCACTGTTCTTGAGCTAATCTGAAGGCCACACGAAGTTTGGAGGTCTGTAGTGATTTACTCTGCAGAAAGTTGGTGACCTCTTCGCACTATGCACTTCAGCATCCGCTGACCCCGCTCCATCAGTTTATGGGACCTACCACTTCATGTCTGAGTTGCGGGGGGGGGGGGGGGGGGGGCTGCTGTCTTGTTCGGGGGTCCAGAGTGGGCCAGTGAGGGTGGAGGCAGGTGTAGGTGTTTCACCTTTTCCACTACCTTTTGATGTTGCTCTGGGGAGTTGAGCAAGTGATCTTCCGGTCACAGGCCCACCTTCTCTAGCCCCCCACCCCCCCCCCGCCCCCCCAGACATTTTGACAGATGTTGACCTAATATTTGTTGTACATGTAGCTGAGAGCCACACTGCACACACTCACTGCACACCTGTTTTTGTTTAAAGCTTCTTCATTTACTGTTGAAGTGAGCCTGTTAGCAAAACATCTTGAACAATTGAACAAATGGTAATGAAACCTGCAGAAAGTTCTTTATATGCACATCTACAATCATTTCACTTCTGGAGTCTATCCAGTCCAACACAGCCACTTTCTAATCAACATTAACCAACACAGAGTGGCTAAAACTCGGTGAGTTCTACAAATAATGAGGTAAAATGTAGTGTGGTAGTAACTGAGAGTCATTCTCAAAACATACTTTGAGCCCGACACCTTGTGAGATCACATAACGTTGTGCATAGAATAATTTCTTAGGTTTGACCACATCCGACAAAACTTTTATTCTTCAGCATGATATTGTGTTAGTTCAAAAACTTTGCATTTAAGGTGGCGGTGATATGCTTCAAGGAATCCTTGTAGTTTTTATAATCTTAACCAATAATAATTCCGTTTCCTCTCATTTCAGTGTTTTTCCTGTCACTTCTTGTGGCAGCTCGGGTAATTCAAGGCATTGTGAGATTAATTATCAGTCAGTGTTTTCTTGCAATAGTAAAATTGCTTCAACTAGTGCTGCAACCATTTCTCCACCTTTTCTGGTTTTAAATTTCCCTGTAGTGTAGTCTTTTTCATACAGTATCTTATATATAGTATGTTATATAGTTTTAAATAAGAGAAGAGAATTATAGATACTTGTCTATATGTTAAACTAAATGGAAAGTGATGGTTTTACATGTAATGTTGGTGAATCTGATTAAAGTTCTTGCACATGGCTCAAATCTTACACCATGAAAGCTATATAATGTATGACAGGAAATCTGTGTGACATCATCACATGATTGTGGTTTTGGTTCTGCAGGTTTGGTGGTCCAGGGCTCCAATGGTGAGTATCCGTACCTGACAGAGGAGGAGCGAGTAGAGGTGGTGAGGGCGGTCCGACGATCCCTGCCAGAGGGAAAACTGCTGATGGCCGGATCAGGCTGTGAATGTAAGTTTTTAATTTGACCTTTATTTAACCAGAAAATCCAACTGAGATCACAGACCTCTTCTTTGGGCGGCTGTGGCTGAGTGGTTAGAGCAGTCGTCCTATTATGCTAATTAAAAAAAAAAAGTGCTTTTGATAGTTATTTTGTCTTGGTTTTAATTTCAAACCATATAAAGCTAAGCTATTTCATTTTTATCTAATCAAATTTGTTTCATTTGCTCATTACATTACTTGTAATTTTAGGGCTTTAAACACTTTGAAACAGTCTTCATGCATGCTCAATAATCCAGGTAGAAAAATCTAAAAAAGTTAAATCTGGTCCTCTGGACATTCAAAAAACAAAAAGTACAAAACATTTCGTCTTTCATCCGAAAGACTTCCTCAGTCTGAGGTGCTGTATTCAGCTCAGTCTCTTAAATAGCACCTTCTCAGAGTGGATCAACCAGTTTGCTGCTGACAACCAAAACCAGCTGATCACATGCTCAAGAAGGACCATCAGCCTAACAATGGATCATTAGCACCTGATGGCTGTTTACTGTTCACAGAGGGCTGAGTGATACTAGCAATCACAGCATTGTAAGAGGGGGACAGTTGAACCCGGAGGCCTCCACCCCTGTTTAATGATGGACGGTTTCTTTTCACAAAGATGGCCTCCTTTACTCCTCTCTCAAACCATCGTTCCTCTCTGTCCAGGATGTGAACATCTTCATCCCTGAAAGAGTGACCGCTGGCCTGGAGATGAGTGTAGACCTCAGAGTCCTGGCCTGATGATGTTGATCTTCTGTGCTGGTCCATCCTTTTGGCCAGTGGCTGTTTAGTTTCCCCGATGTAAGACTGATCACCCTCCTGACACTGAACAGCATACACAACATTGCTCTGTTTGTGCCGGGGGACTGGATCTTATTGAGCATGCATCAGGATATGTCCTGAAACATTTTCACATTAAAATCATTCATTTAATTTCATTTGGATTTTATGTGACAAGCTCAGGTGAAAAGAAAATTATTCTTTAAAAACATCAAAGTTCATGCTCAATAATCCAGGAAAAAAATCCATCAATGTTATGTCAGGTCCTCTGGATAGTTTATTTGTGTTGAAATGTTTCTTCTCTCATCCAAAAGACTTCTTCAGTCTCAGAAGCCACAGCAAACTCAGTCTTTTCAGTAGCACCTTCACGTAGTGGGTCAACCACTTTGATGGTTTCTGGAGTCTGCCCTGTCCCCCGCAGACTCATATTTAAAAACATTTTACAAATTAACATGTGCAAACTGTGGTATGTAATTTGATTCAGACCCTGTGAGTCAACAATTCATGGAACCACCTGTAGCTACATTTCCAGCTGCAAGTCTTTTGGTGTTTATATCTACCAGTACATCTACAACCTGAAGGTTTTGTCCTTTCTTCTGTGAAACAGCTTCAACTCAATCAGACTGGACAGAGCTTCTATGAACAGCTGCTTTCACATCTACCAAAGATTCTCAGTTGGATTTGGATCTAGAGTTTAACAGGGTCATTGCAACACATTTGATCTGACCCATTCTACTGTAGACCTGGCTGGAAGTTTTGGGTCATTTTCCTGCTGGAAGGTCAGGACCCAGAACCTTCTCAGTCTTTAATTTTTTTTAGTCTCTAACAGATTTTCTTCCAGGATTGTTCTGCCTTTATCTCCATCCGTCTTCCCATCAGCTCTGACCACCTGCCTTGTCCCTGCTGAAGAAAGTCGTCCCCACAGCATGATGCTGCCACCACCACCATGCTTTAAGCAGAGGGAGGATCAGAAGGATGGAAGCCTGGACAGAGCCAATGTGTCGTGAATGCTGGTCTTTTAAAGGTAGAACCCAAGGATGCAGGCA